GCCCTCCGCGCGGCGCCGGCCACGTGCCGGGCCCGGCCCCGGTCCGGATTGTGCCGCTGAGGGGCGAGTTGCACCCAAACGCGGCCACACGTTGGCTTGGAAGCCACTGGGGACATGCTCAGTGTGCAAAGAGCTCCCAATGACCGTTCGGGCTTTTGTTGCAGATTTAACCCCCGTGCTTTCCCAGCGACGGACATGAAGCACAAGGCTGCGGATGGAAGCCTGGGCCAGGCATGGATGCAGGGGCGGCWGGAGAGATGCTCTGGTCCCCGCTTTGCTCCTCGTCCTAAACACGGGCCTGTCGGGAGGAGCCAGAGCCTGGACAGTCTCCAAGCAGGCAGGGGAGGCTGCTCTGACCCGAGTGCAGTTTCACGGACAGTGAAAATCCCGCTCAATCAGCGGGCATTGGGAGCAGCTCTGTGGGCAGACCCAACCACGCCGTGCTGCTGCCGGCTGCCCAGGCTGCAAATCCAGGCTTGCAACGGACCCCAAGTCAGAGCTGCCTGTTCATCCATATTCCCCAAATCTCTGGGGCTTCCTGCAGCGAACCCGGCTCATTATTTTTTCAGAGCTGGGAACAGAAATAACCGGCGGCGAGTGAATAATCCATGAGGTTTCGGCGTGTGTGCGCGCGGCTGCTCGCGATGAAAGAGCAAACACTTAGCTCGAGCCCAGGCGTCTTCGGGAGGAGCCGGGGCTCTCCAGGCGCCGTGCGGACGCTCGGCCCCACCGCGGCTGCCGCACGAGCCCCCAAAGCRGCTGGGGGTCCCGAGCACGGTGGGGCACAGGCCCCGGGAAGCAGCAGCACGGGACACTCGGGCAGCTTCCCTTGGCACAGGGAGCGGGAAACTGGAATGGAGGAGCAGGGAGGACCCTGGCGCCCCAGAATCTCCAGCCATCCTCCGCGCCCCAGCTCCCRAGCACCCTCCGAGGGCGCCCATTCCCAACGTGTGAGCACCCGGCTCCCAACGCAGGGCTTTGGAACGGGAGAGGACGCCCTTGCCCTGACGGGCCGCCCCGCAGGCCTCAGGAGTTTGATGCCGAGGTGGGAGCTTGCAGCAGCCGCTCCAAGGAAGCCCTGGCAAACGAGAGGGCCGAGGTCCAGCCAAAGTGTTTACTTCCGAGAGAAAACGAAGCCCACACGAAGGGTACAACCCGAGGTGGACGGACCGAGTCGGACGCGGGCTGTCTAGGCAGCCCCTGGCATACACGGAGCGTGGCGGCAGGGCCCCTCTATGCTACCAGAGCCCTCCACCCGCCACAGGAAGACCCTTCTGAGAAGCAGCCGGCGGGCAGAGCAAAAGCCCTTCCCGGAGAGGCCGGAGCAGGGGAGGCAGAGGGAGGCCGCTCCATCGCCGCGGCAGGGCCGGCCAGGCTGGGACACRGCTGTGTGCCGAGGAGGACAACGGAGCCTTCAGCCCTCGGAGCGGGCAGGTGGGAGGCGGGATGTGGCGCGAGGAGGCGGCCGGGCGCCGCGCCGGGGCTCTCCTCGATGGACATCGGGCGCTAGGCGTCCGGGGCGGCCAGCTGCGAGGAGGAGGAGGAGGAGGAGGAGGAAGGGGAGAGCGGGGCTGCCGGGCGCCGCGGGCCGGGCTGCGGGCGCTCGCGCCTCACCTCGCTGTAGCTGGGCGGCTCGGCCGGGGGCAGCGGCGCGTCCACCCGCGTGGCCGAGGGCGCGATGAGCATGGCCTGCAAGCGGGCAGGAGGTGGGCAGGGGTCCCGCGGCGCCGCCGGCCCCTCGCCCGCCGCCCGCGCCTACCTCGGCGGAGCGCACGCGCGTCGCCCGGCACCAGAAGCTGGCCGTGGCCACGGCGATGCAGAGCTCGAGGACGGTGAAGATGAGCAGCACGATGGAGATGCCGTTGCCCGCGAGCTGCCGCAGCGTTGCCCGTGAGCGGCGCCGGCGCTGCACGTGCCCGCTCGCCCCGGGCCCCCTGCGCTCCCGTCCCAGCCCCATGGCACGGGTCCCCTCCCTGGCGCTTTGGGGCCGAGTGTCCCACACCTCATCCCGAGCGGCAGAGCCGGCCGCGCTCACCACGACCAGGTAGGCGCAGGGGTCGAAGCCGGAGCGGTAGAGGCCGTTGAGGTTGAGGTCGACGATGAAGGTGGCGATGCCGAGCAGCGCGAAGATGGCACTGATGATGTTCATGGTCTGGCTGCCCTTCACCTGCGGCGGGGCACGCGCGGGGCTCTGGGCAGCTGCCCGGCACGGCGCGGCGCGGCACGGCGCGGCGCGGGAGTGAGCAGCTCACCGCGCACTCCGTGGGGCTCTTCTCGGCGCCGATGGACAGGCAGCCCGAGATGATGAACTGCGGGGTGACGACTGATGGTGAAGCGCGGTCGGCGCGTGCACGGCGCGCATCCCCTCGGGCACGGCGCTGCCGTCCGCACAGCCCCRGGCTGCGCACAGGCTGCCCAGGGAACCCCCCGTTCCTCACCCTTACATCCAGAAGGGCTGGACGCTTCCACATCCCACAAAAAAGTCCATAAATTGTGCTGCAATTTGCTGCCCAGGGCCACTGAACTAGAGCCACCCCCCGCCTTTCCCAGGCCTGGTCCCCAGCAGGCAGGGGGACCCCGGGGTTGGAGCGAGCGCGTCCCCCCTGTCCCCGTGCCACGCACAGACACGCCGCCCAGGAAGGGGATCTCGCCGGTGACGAAGACCGAGGTGTAGACGCTGGCGAGCATGGTGAGGACGACGCCGAAGCCGATGTGCATGAAGCCGGTCATGATCTGAATGGTCTGCGGGAGGAGGCGTTGGAGACAGCGGGGCGCGCTCGCCCCGCGTCCCGCGCACCTCGGGGAGGGGCCGCGCGGGGCCGGGTCCCCTCAGCCCCCCCAGCGAGCGCTGCCTTGGAGCAGCCCCCCGGCAGGGACAGGGGAGCCCCCTCCCAGCGGCGCCGTCCAGCCCCTCCTCGCAGCTCTCGGGCTCCCTGGAGGGCAGCCCCATGCTCTCCCCAGTCCTCTCCCAGTGGCAGCGACGGGGGGAGGCGTCACCCTCCCAGCAGCAGCGGGATGGAGGGGAGCACGGAGCCACGCTGCCCCCATCCCAAGGCACCGGGCTCGCTGCCCTCCCCGCTCCAGGGGGTGTTTGCAGGGAAGGGGAGGGATGTCCCGGAGGAGCTGGGGGGCACCGCACGGCCCAGCAGCTCTTCCCGCCCGCCCCGTGGCCGCCGCTGCCCAACTCACCCCCATSACTCGGTTCTTGCCCTTGGGCAGGCTCTCGGCCGTGTACATGACGGCGCGGCCGGGCAGCCGCAGGCTCCGCGCGCCGTGCATGGGCGCAGCGCCCGCCGCCCGCGGGGCCGCCCTGCGTGGCGCCGATTGGCGCCGCGCGCCGGGGCGGCACCGCCGGCATCCCCACGCACGGCCCCGCCGCGACGCTCCTGCCCTCGCCGGAGCCGCGGACGCAGAGCAGCCCCACCAAGCCCCCAAAAGCAGGGGGCACGAGGGGGGCCCCCCCGGCCTCCTCGCCGAGCTGCTCGGGGAGGATGGAGGGAGCAAGCACGGAGAGCCCCCCTGCATCCCCTGGTGGGAGCTACCTGCCCCAGGGGGGCTACAGCAGCCCCCTGTAAGTCGCCCCCCCGCCATCGACTTGAATTCGGGCCAGCGAGATGAAGTGTTTACAAGGGAGGGGAAAGAAAAAAAAAAAAAGAAGAAAAAAAAAAAAAGAAAAGAGAGAGAACATGAGAGAGTGCACACGAGAGAGCAAAGACCACGGCGAGTTCCTGGAAGAGAATCCATCAAAGCCATTAGGCGCAGGCACGCGCCTTCCCCGAGGAGCTGGCTGCACGCGGCCGGGTTGCGGCAGGCGCCTCCAGCAGCTCGGATCCCCCTTGCCCTGGCACGGGCACGCTGGAGAGGGGCTGCTAGGGCACCGCTGCAGGAGCCGGGGTCTGGAGAAGCTCTTGGCTCCCCCCGCGAGAGCCTGATGGGGTCCTGCTCCTTTCAGCGGCTTCAGCTTCCAGCCTCGCCGCGGGTCTGCGGCTTGGAGGGCTGCAGGCCCTCTGAACCGGGGCTCTGGCAACCAACCGGAATGGATCCGGTGGCCATGGCACGCTGGCTGGGCCCCTTCCTGCCAGCACCAGCCCCTGGGTCCTGAGCCCCAGTGCCACCAAAGTGTCACCGGTGCCACCAAAGTGTCACCGGTGCCACCAAAGCGGCTGCTGCCTCCAAGGGGCCAGCCCCGAGGAGCTGCTTGTGGAGGGCATTCCCACACGGACGGCCAAGGACACATCCACTCAGGAGAGCAGCGCGGTTTTCAAGTGGAAAAAAATATATATACATGTATTAAATAGCTCTTCAACATAGTGCACACAGAGATAGGAACAGGAGAGGTCTTGAAAACCTTACAGATCAAGAGGAAAASTGAGCAAGAAGCGCAAATGGTGTCAGGCTGGCAAGAAACTCCATGCTCTGGCTCCTGAGTGCGATTCCTCCCTCCCCATCCACCACCTCCCRTGCCGGTGACTCCCGGGACTCAGGACACATCCGAGGAAACAGTGCGTTTCCAGCTCCCTTCTTTCCTCCTCGACTGGGATTCGCAAGCCCTCACTGGGGACGCTGACAGRAGACAGTGGACGAGCCTGCGCCATCCTCCCCGCGAGCCCCTTAGATACCAACACAGGCGAGGCGAGGCGCCCCCCGGCCCGAGGAGCACGAGCCCAGAGGCTGGGCGCAGGGAGATCCCCCGCTGCCCGCGCGTTTTCCGAGAAAAAGCCAGAAATGGGCGTTTTGCTTCTGAGAAGGAAGCAAGTGGGAACAAGGGGGTCCCCAGCCCGCGCCGGAGCGGCTCCCTCCTGTGCTGCACGGGGAGAAGAAGCAGCAGGACACACGTGGGAATCCCACGTGTGGGAACTGCCTCGTGCGGAAACCCGCGGCACAGAGAGGCAGCCGGGAATGTGGTGCTTGTCCCGAGGCTGTCACAGAATCACGGGATGGCTGAGGTTGGAAGGGACCTCTAGGGATCATCCAGTCCAACCCCCTGCTCCAGCAGGGACACCCAGAGCATCGGGCACAGGGCGGCATCCAGGTGGGTTTGGAGACCTCCGGAGAAGGAGACTCCACAGCCTCCCTGGGCAGCCTGTGCCAGGGCTCGGGCACCCTCATGGTCAAGAAGTTCTTCCTCACATGGAGATGAAGCTTTCTGTGTTGCAGCTTGCTCCCATTGCCCCTTGTCCTGTCACTGGCCACCGCTGAGAAGAGCCTGGCCCCTTCCTCCCGACATTCCCCCTTCAGGTACTTATATGTGTTGATAAGATCCCCTCTCAATCTTCTCTTCTCCAGGCTARACAGGCCCACCTCACTCTTTCCTCATATGAYAGATGCCCCAGTCTCTCAACCATCTTTGTTGCCCTCCGCTGGACCCTCTCTAGCAGCTCCACGTCCCTCTTGTCCTGGGGAGCCCAGAACTGCCCCCAATGCTCCAGGTTTGGCCTCCCCAGAGCTGAGCAGAGGGGCAGGGGCTCCCGGGAGCCGCTCCTGCTGGGAGCTCTCGGCCCCACGGTGCCCGCACGCTGCCCCAGGCTGGGCTTAGCTAAGCCGAGCGCTCCTGCGCAGGCAGAAGYGAAAGCAAGACGGGAATAATTGAAGGGCAGCGCACGGGGCCAGGGCTGGCGTCGTGCCATGGGTCCATCCCCAGGGAAGCCCAGCAGGAGAAGCAGTTCCATGGGAAGCCCCTGGACCACGGCCGCCCCCAGCCACCCCACTGCCCTTCCCGCAGCCAGACACACACATGCTTGGATCCACAGCTTTATTGCGGCAGAGGGGCTCACGGCACGCCGGCATTCCCAGGAGCRGCRGGAGGCGCGGGCACCATGGGCACGCCGGGCGCCTCGCCGGGGGCGCCGGCACGGTGCCGGCGCCGCCTCACGGAGCAGTAGCAGCCCAGCGCGGCCACGGCGGCCAGCACAGAGCCCATGGCCACCATGGCCAGCGTGGGGCCGGGCGCCGGCCCTGCGGGAGAGGCGGCAGTGAGGACGGGGGCTGCTCCCGGCCCCGGGGGACGGGGACGCGGCGCGGGCATCGCACTCACCCGTGTCCCTCCTCTCGCCTCCGGCCACGGGGGCCGAGGGGCGGCGCGGCGGTGGCGTGGCCGGCGGCGATGCCGTGTGGGTGCCGGCCTCGCCGGGGAGCCCTGCGAGGGGAGGCCGAGCGGAGGCTGCAGCACCCAAAGGGCTCCCAGCACCAGCTCCTACCCGCACCACCTCTCACCTGCGCCACGATGCCGCCGCAGCCGCCCGGCCCCGCTGCGGGAGCCGCTGGTCCCTCGCGGGGAGCAGCCCAGGCCGCACTCGTCCCCGGGCTCGAGGCGACGGTAGGTCTGCAGGGACAGGTGTCCCGCGGGAGGGCTGCCCGCCGCGGCCCCCTCGGCTCTGCCCGAGCAACGGGGCTGCCCCGTGCCCGCGCCGGCACCCACCTGGCTGCCGGGGCTGCTTGGGAGGAGCGGGGCCTCCAGCCGGAGGCGATGCCGSCGCGGCGAGAGCGAGCGCCGGCGCCGCGCTCCCACGGCGCTGCCCCCCAGCCCCTCGCCCAGCGCGGCCTGCAGCCAAGCAGCGGCGAGGAGGAGGGCCAGCCCCCGCTGCCCCAGAGCCTTCATCGCGAGTGGAGAGGAGGAGGAGGAGCAGCTCAGCCCCGCTGGCTTTTACAGCTGGGGCCGCGGGCAGGTGCCGGCCGCTCTCCCAACGGGCCCCGCAGCTGGGGCTCGTCCCGCCAAAAAACCAGGGCTCATCGCCCACGTCATCAGCAGGAGGGTGCTCAGTAGGTTTCAGAGTGAACGCCGTGTTGACGCACCCAGAGAGGGGGCTACGTTCTCCCTGCAGTGCCTGGGGGCTGCGAGCAGACGGCGCTGGCCGATGCGATGTGTTCTCTTGGTGCCCCGYTGGCATTGCCGGGTGCCGCGCAGGGACCCTGCCCCAGTGGCCTCCGGCCCGCTCAGCAGCTCCCCATCCCGCCGGGCCCGGCAGGAGCCCGGCAGAGGCACGGGRCGACGCGTGGGACACACAGTGACCGCGTCCCCGGCCACCCCCTGCCCGGCTCCGGCAAGGACGGCCGATCCCGTGTCCCCCAAGGGCGCCCCGTGGCCGCGGCTGGCCCCACGCGCCYTGGCCAGCAGCCCAGGTCCCGCCCGGCGCCGGCGCTGCCCGTTCCCTCCGTTGTCCCCGGGGCAATTCCCGGTGGGAGCCGAGCCCAGGACCCACCTGCGGGGAAGATCCCTAAGCGAAAAGCACGCCAGCCCATTCCTGGTGCTTAGTAGGTTCCAGGGTGAACGCGCAGGCGCCGGACAGAGCAAGGGCAGCCTTTCAGGCAGGACTAAAGAGGGTTCCGAACGATTTAAGCTTTAATTTAAAGGTGCCCTTTGGAGCAGAGCTTTGGGCCACAGCAAAGCAAAGCTGGTGGGTTTCGGGGGGTACTGGGCACACTGGGCACACTGGGCACGGGCTCCCCTGGTCCCCGTGGCGCTGGGCTGAGCTCGAGGCCCCGTTTTTGGGGTCAGGCTCCGCTGCCAGGTGCCGGCCGCCACGGGCACCGGGCACAGCCCCAAGAACAAGGCTGACGCACGGACCCGGCTCTCCTTGGGGCGCCCTTGGATAAGCAGATAAGGCCGAGACGGGCGCGGGCACCCTCTCAAAAGCAGCTGGGCGCGGGGGCCCGCGCGCAGAGGCCGGCGGCGCCGCGGGCGGGACGATGCTCGGCCCGGCGCTGGGGCTCCTGGCCCTGCTGGGGCTGGCGGGCGGCTGCAGTGAGTGCGGGCGCCGCGGAGGGAGCCGCCGGCGGGCACGGCGGGCTCGGCCGGCAGCGCCCCGCTCCGCTCCCTGCAGTCGCGCCCGCCGAGGACGTGTCGCGGATGCTGCAGCGGCTGGAGGGCGCCGCGGGCGCCGAGGGGCCGCCCGACCCCAGCGTGCTGCTGGCGCTGAACCTGGCGGGCGCCGGCGGCTGCGCCCGCTGCAAGGAGCTGCTGCAGCGGCTCCGCGAGGCGGCCGTGGAGAGGGCGGCCAAGGGTAGGACGGCGGCGGCGGCGGCGGGTGCACCCCCGGCCCCCCGCGCCAGCGCCGCGCTCCGTGCCCGCAGACATGACGTCGGGGGAGCTGGCGCTCTACGTGCTGGCCTTCCTCTCGTCCTGCGAGAGCCCCCGCGCCGTGCAGGCGCCGGCGGGCACTGTGGACGTGCTCTCCTGGCTGCAGCTGCGCACCGATGAGGAGGTGGCACACCTGGGTGCGTAGAGCGGGGACGCGGCGCCCAACGCGGCGCGCTGCGTGGGCGCCGCGTCAACGCGCCGCCTTGCAGAGCTCGAGGGCACCCCGCGGACCACGTTCTACCAGCTCGGCCTGGACGTGACGGCGCTGTGCGTGGCGGGCACGGGCGCCTAYGAGCTGGCCGCCGTCAAGCTGGCCAAGGAGGTGCTGCGCGCCGGGGAGCAGCTCTCCGTGGGTGAGGGCCGCGCGCGGCCG